CGGCAAACTGCGGCCCCTTGAGTGTGGCTCTTCCACAAAATACCACGTGCGGGCCCGCACAAACAGTGCGATTGAAACTTCGTGGCCACACTCAAGGGGTCAAAGAGCCGCAGTTTGCCGACCACTGCCCTGGAGCATGGAGAAGCTGCAGCTTGTAGCGAAGTTGAGAAACGGCTACCATCGTGACCATGATGCAAGAGCTCATGAAGCGGCCTGCAAAACCTCCGTGTCTCATCATGGCGACTTCTCAAGAAGCCACTCCTTTATTCTGATCTCAAATAATGAACTTTGTATTATTTTTTTTTTTTTAAAGAAAGACTTAGTACTGTGCCAGATGCTACACTGGGAAGGATGCAGAGCACACCTATGCATAACCAGAAGCTAATCATGCACAGACATATCTTTCAGTTCTACTTAATACATGGTCTGTACTCTTCAAAAACATCAGAGTCATGAAGGAAGACTGAGGACTGTTCCAGATAAATGAAGACTAAAGATATGTGATAACCCAATGCAACACGTGATCCTGGACCAGAAAATCTTTTTTCTTTCATCTAAAAGAACATTTCACTAGGTCAACCAGTGAAATTTGAGTGAGATCTGTAGGTCTGATAAATAATATTGCATTAATATTAGTTTTCCAATTTTGAAGATTTACTATGATTATTTTGAAAGTGTCCTGCTTTTTAGGAAATACACACTGAAATATTTGAAGATTAAATAGCACTGTGTCTTCAACTTACACTCAAGTAATTTACAAAATAATAAGAATATGTACACAAATAAACATATAAAAACACATATATATGTACATAAAGAAAGAATGAGAATAAAACTGTGATTAAATGCTAATATTTAGAAAATCTAGGCAGAACTTTTCCATAAGTTCTAAATTATTTCAAAATAAAAGGTTGAAGAGAAACTAAGATGGCGGCAGAGATAAACACCGGGAAATTAATGCCGCACACAACAATTGATTAATACCTCAGAGAAACAATACGGACTTCATCCAGAACCACAGGAAGCCTGGGTGACTGTAAACTCTACAACTAGAAGGAAGGAAAGGCACACTGAGACCCACAGAAGCTGCAGGAGAGAAGCACAGAGGTACGGGGCTCACCCGGGGCTCGCGCGCGCGGAAAAACATATAAAAACACATATATATGTACATAAAGAAAGAATGAGAATAAAACTGTGATTAAATGCTAATATTTAGAAAATCTAGGCAGAACTTTTCCATAAGTTCTAAATTATTTCAAAATAAAAGGTTGAAAATTTGGCAAGGGAAAAATAAAACATTTTTCTAAGAAAAGACTTCATTGGATTGCTTTGTGTCTCATGCATGAAATAAGTAAGAACTCTAGGACTTCAGTATCTAGTGACTTTGTGCACCAAATTTTCTGCCTTCTACTTTCTGGTAAGTTCACCTCCACACTTTCTGGAGAAAAACAAAAACTCAAGCCAAAGCAGTCATCCTATCCCTTCCCCTCCCCTCCCCTCTTATCCACTCCCCTTCCCTTTCCCT